CACACACACACACACACACACACACACACACACACACACACACACACGCACACACAAGCATCTGTGGATGTTTATCAGGACTATGGAAATTATCTGGAAGTGTTCATGAACAATCTCACATTCTTGTTGTCCCTCCCCTCCCTGCAAAATGTATGATGTCTCTCTATGTTGCTTGCTGAGGTAAATTTTTTGCTACCTTACACCGTGTCCTGTGTCGAAGACATGGTCTGAGCTTTTTATTAATACCTTCTCTCCTCATGTTTTCTTCCCCTTTTCTTGTCTAAGCGATAAGGGCAGCGCTCATAGGGAGCCACAGCCCCGGTACACTTCCGTCTATCCTTCGGACGGCTGTATGGAACAACATTTCTCTGTACTTTTTTTCATTCAACCTTTATTTAGACAGGTTAATCCCATTGAGCCTCGAGGACTCATTTACAAGAGAGACCTGTACTTAACTGTACAATGACAATAAAATTGATACTGATATAGATAAATTTAACCGCAGATTATTGTAACTCCCCTCCCAACAGAGCGCCATCAGTGTCTTTGCCTGACTCACAGGAAGTTTGCTTTGGTCACCAGTGTGAAGGTGGGAATTAGAGAAACTGGTCATCAGGCTTGATGCTTCATTGCAAGTTTCAAAAAGCTAAAATCTGAGACCTCCTTTAAAATTGTTTTGTTTTTGTCTTATTCTTGAGGTGTAGTTGGACCACTGAGTCTTGTCCTGAAGAGCTGCTCTCCAGTTGAGCCGTCTGTGGAGTTTGTTGGGTTTCTCCAGTTTAGAGGTTTGAATGTTCCTCTCTGCTCTGAAATGTTTACCCCACACCGCTCAATCTGGGGGTTCTGTCCTAAGAATGGACCAGCCTCTGTCTGAGGGTCCTGTTAGGTTTCAAATGGATGTTGTGTTTGGAGAAAATCCTCAGAGTTTCTCAAATACTCCAATAACATCTGGGATGACAACGTTTTGTGTTTGTTCTCCTCCATGTTCTGTTCTGTGGTGTTTTTTAGATTTCCTCGCTGACTTGACAAAAGCCCAGTTAGGATATTCACATGTTTGGAGAGCTTTTCTGATGTTTTATTCTTTTTCCTTTACTTCTGTCGTGATGGGGACATGTCGTACAGTTCTAATGACTGAACGTCTGTTTCAGTAGGCAGTGAGAGTTAAACAGAAGGCACTGATCTGTGTGAGTTGTTTTGTCTATCTCAGGTGTTAGCTTTTTAAAACTTACAATGCAGCATTAAGCCTGATAGCTAATCTAGATTTGACACTTTCCTGCATGTGGCCAAATCACCTCTCCCACGAGCCAGGTAAAGACCCTAACCTTGGGAAGTGATTAAATGGTAAATGGACTGTACTTTTCTATCTAATCAAGGTACTCAAAGCTCTTTACACTACAATCTGTGCCTCATTTACCCATCCATACAGCACTCTACATCTCTACAAAGCTAATTGAACAGATCATTCTAAAGAGACTAATCAGTGCTTTAGATCACATTCATTCACTGATGGGACACACATCGGAGGTGATGAGGGGTTCAGTGTCTTGCCCAGGGACACTTCAGCATGTGACTGTTGGTGGATTCGAACCCCCAACTCTTGCATTGGAGGACGACTGCTCTAACCACTCAGCCACAGCCGCCCCACAATTAAATGTAAAAACATCCATGTAATGTAGTTTAAAGGTTTATAAAGCTGTGCTTTTTCAACTGCTGGGTTGTGACACAAAAGTGAGTTGCAGGTCACAATATGTTTATATGTCAGTAATGAATTATGCTTGAATGAATTATGCTTGAATGAATTATGCTTGAATGAAAGACTGCGGAATAAAAACAGACATCATTTCTGTGAGTGGGTGTACTCAGCTAATACTACATCTTGTCAACCTTTTTGAAACCTTGTTTCAGTTGTTAGACTTTTTTATTTCTAAGTTGTGTGTAAAATTACTTTTGAGTTAGTTTAAAAAAAGGATAAAGTTAATGAAATTACGTTTTTTTTTTATTTGAAATAAAAAGCAGCTAATTAAGGGTTCCTCTCCAGCAGAGCTGGTCCTTTTAGTTTATCAGTAAACTTGTTTTTTTGTGTTGGTATACTGTGATATTCTATTTTACTATCTCAGGTTAAAACCGCACCAGATTTTCATTTGATAAATTTAAGAAGTTAAAACTCTTTCTCAGTTTGGGTCACACCTTGTCATTAAGGGTCCTAAAGTCAGGCCAGATGAGTGCCTGTTGTAAAAGATTGTTCACATAAACTGCTGTAAAATTATTTTAAATTGGAGTCATTTTAACTTGCCATGCCTCTGTGGTCTTGACCACACTCAAACTAGTAGTACATTTCCTCTAACAGATTAGTTAGAGGAATTAATCATTCAAAAAGCTATCTGCAGGTAAGATAATAATTGTTCATAGAAGTTCCATTAAACTCAACCAAAGGTTTGAACCATCTCTTTAAAAGGTGTAAATATGGCACAGCTGTTTTAGGTGGTAACAAAGTTAAAGTACCTGCATCTCTAAAGATGTAACATTTTTAATCATCTTTTTAATCAGAGTTAAAATATCATGTTGCAGCTTCATGGGTCCATGTGCTCTAAAGAGCTTCACATTGCTGAGGGCTTTGCTGGTTACCTGGCAACACCCCAGTGATGACAGAACCTGAAAGTTTTAAAGAGCTTTTCCCATCCCAATTTTGTTTTACCGGTACCTTTGAATAAGAACAAGCCAAAGATGCAGATATGAACTCAAGTACTGAACAGAAGAATTCCTGCTCTGTGAGAACATCTGTCAGGTTCTCATCTGGCAGCTCACTTACAGCAGGAATCCACCGAGTGATTCCTCCTGTGCTTTGTGGTGAACGTGTTCTCACAGAGCAGTAATAAACTGGAGCCGACAGTAAATCAGCTTGGAGAGCGTTGCTTGGTACAGTCAGACTGAGCAGTAGTTTAGACTGTAAACTGTGCAGCCGTGTCCTCTGCCTCCAAACACAAGGATAAACCGTTTGCATCAACGTTAGAATAAATCCACTGAGTCTCCTCTAAGATAACTTCTATTCAAGTTCAAGTTTTTTTTGGGGGGAGTGGTAGTGCAGAGGCTAGAGAGGTGGGCTTGTGACGCACCGGCCCTGACAACATCAAAATTGTGGGTGGGGTAGGTGAAACACCCACACTTGCCCCCACCCTCATTCGCCCCACTCTGGGCCCATGAGCAAGGCCCTTAACCCCCACCATGTGCTCCCTAAACAGGTCTCTCTTGAAAATGAGTTCTCGTGGCTCAATGAGACTAACCTGGATAAATAAAGGCTAAATGAAAAAAAAAAAAAAAAAAGTAGATTTTATTATTTATCAAGAAGTCATTCGCATCACATGTGGTGCATGAGGTGGAACACAATTATGTATAGGGTCCCAGTTGCAGCCAACAATATCAAAAATATAAAGTGTAAAAGAAACAGTAAATAAATATTGAAGACGTAAACTAAGAAATACGCTAAACACTAATAGTGCAAAAATAACATGCTGAACAACAGCAGCACGAACATGAGTCTGTGTGAGTAGATGAGTACGAATGAACACAGCAGCATGAAATAATCAGCAGCATGAGACCAGCAGCATGGATAATCAGCAGCAAGTATCAACAATCAAGTGGCATTACAGTGATTTATGTTTCACAGTAATTATCCTGATTAGAGATTCATGAGTCTAACAGCCTCAGTGTAGAAGCTGTTCCTCAGTCTAGTGGTTCTACAATTAATGCTCCTCAACCTCCTTCCTGAGGGGAGTGGGGCAAAAAGTGTGTGTGTGCTGGGTGAGTGGGGTCCTTCATGATGCAGGTGGCCCTCTTCCTGCATCTAGAGGTGTAAATGTCTGTGATGCTGAAGATTATTGATGTGATGTGACACTGATGTGAAGGTTATTCTCCTTGCACCAGTTCTCCAGGTGTTCCACCTCCTGCCTGTAGCTGGACTCATCATTGTTGTGATGCATCCCACCACCGCTGTATCATCTGCAAATTTTACAATTTTTTTTCTATTCTTTTTATTATTTTCTATACTTACTTTCCTGACAGTGATCTCAGTTTTATGAACTCAAGAAACAGGCTTTTAAAAACAGATTTAAATTTAATTTTAATGCAGGGATTTTTTTGTCCTGGAGGTTTTGTTTTAGTGATGTTTCATGTTTGAGTGAAGGAAATCTCCTCCTCGGATCAGCTGTTGGTGGAAAGACACAAAGATGAGCTCTAAATGTTTTCCACAAACACTACTTGAAAACAACATCTGCTGGGTTTATAAAAGGTCACCAAGGTTAAATTGACACCCCCCCCCCCCCCCTTCTCCATATTTACTTCTCTTTTCTCTCATTTCCAGAATGGACACATCTGTTGCTCAGTGGACCCCATGTGCCTTTAGTCCTGGCAGATCTGAAGGTACCTGTACAGAGTTCTCCATGTAAAGAAGACGTCCCACCACCCTTGTGTTTCCTCACCGCCCTCTTCACAGACCTGGGTCAAATAGTGTTTGCACCGTTGGGGTTGAACCCGATGACTGGAGGTTAAAGTTCGGGTCACACGCTGTCAAAACTCAGACATTCTTTAACATCCAGGTACTTCCCCCACCCCCCACCCCCCCGGGGATCATCAACCGTTTTCTAGCTCTTTACTGTATGTTTTTAAACAGCTAATCTCACCCATCAGGTACTTTTTGCACGTTAGTTGTTAAAAGCAACTTGCAGACAGTCTGTGGCCCGCCCCGCCTCTTCCAGTCCTTTAAACCAAATGCAAACCTGAGTCGTACCAAACAGCTGATGGACTTCAGTTCTGCTCTCCTTGTCCTGTCCCACTTAGAGAGATCTGAGGATCAGCCCCCCACACTCCGAGTCATCGATACATGAATCTGTAAGATATTGATATTACTGGCATGACTGTGCTTGATGTCCAGACATTTTTGCTGATTTCTATATTATAAACGATGATAATGAAACCTTAGATAGAGTGAAGGCAGTTAGCATAAGGTTCTGTTGCCACTTTATGAGTCGTCCGTATTACGTGGTGCTTCGTTGCATTCAGTTTTCTTTTTTCTCTTTCTTTTTGTCCCCCCAAGCTTGTTATAGTGTTACAGTGAAATAAAGTATTACCATTTACAGTTAGGTTGGACTTGTGTTTGTGTGGTATTTGTCTGATTTTACTGTGTGCAAAAAAAAAAAACCACTCGTGAATAAGGATGCACGATATTATCGGCAGCAGCACGGTGGCGCAACTGGTAGAGCTGCTGCCTCTCAGCGAGCAGGTCCTTGGTTCAAACCCCGGTCCAGGGGCCTTTCTGGGTGGAGTTTGTATGTTCTCTCCGTGCATGCGTGGCTTTTCTCCGGGTGCTCCGGTTTCCTCCCACAGACCAAAAACATGCATGTTAGGCTGATTGGTAACTCTAAATTGTCCCTAGGTGTGAGTGAGAGAGTGAATGGTTGTTTGTCTCGTTTGTCTCTATGTGTCCCTGTGATGGACTTGCGACCTGTCCAGGGTGTACCCCGCCCCTCGCACAGTGATTGCTGGACATGGGCACCGGCGACCCCCGTGACCCAAAATGGAATAAGCGGGTAAAGATAATGGATGGATATTATCAGCATGGTATCGATATTAGCAATCAAGTTCAATAACGGACATTGGCCATTCCATCAAAATAACTCACCAATATAAAAGGCGACATTTTTGTATGACAGCACAGTAACAAGGATGCCTGCAGTGGCAACACTACGTGATGATGTCATGTGCGCTTAACTGATCTCAAGGCGGAGAGGAAAATTCAAAATGTCGGCGATGTGGAAGTTTTATTTTTTGTTGGTGAGGATGTCTGATTCCGAAGATTTATGGACTACGTTGAACCTCGTTACATCACCCCCAGTCTGAGATATTTTTCTGACGTAGCCTTATCAGAGTTACAAGCCGTCATTTCCTACGTCATTGAGAAGCTTATAGGGAGTTTTTCTTTCCACTGTTACCACTGTGCTTGCTCAGGATGGGAGACTGCAACGAAGCCAAGATTCAACTTGTCTGCTGGATTCCTTAGATAGAGAACTTTACTAATTGGCTTTTATGTGAATGTTCCTGTAAAGTGCCCTGAGACAACTTTGTTGTGATTTGGCGCTATATAAAGAAACTGAATTGAATTAGTAGCCGATAGCACGACTTGTTGGGTGAGTTTTACCACAGACATTTGGACGTTATGTTAGCCCTGTTAGCATGATTAGTCTTACGGCACAATGGATAGATAAAAACTTTGAACTTAAAAGTCTGTCTTTCTTGCACAGGAGTGCAGAGGATCCCACACAGCAGCTAGAAACCTGGAACAAGTGAGACAGCATCGCAGGTGACTAATGCTAATAAATAACATTTAACACTTTTCATTTAATATAAGTTAAAGTGCTATGCATATCATGGCCGTTACTGAATATATGTCACCAGCTCTTACAGCTGTTGCACAATTTTTGTAGCAAATAAGCCTAAATAAGAGGTCCATGTTCTGACCAAGGAAAGTACATAAAATATCGTTATTGGTTATCGGCCAAATACGTTTTAGCATATCGGATATTGGCCAAAAATCCAATATCGTGCATCCCTACTCATGAATATTTAATATTGTTGACTTTCAGTCATCTCAAATGTTTTTGTGTATTAATTTCAGCAAAACTGATAATAATACAGAAGTCATTGTCACCTTGTGTTACAGAGGTACACTCATACAAATAAACAACTAACAGCAATAATTTAAAAAAATATGAAATTTATAATATTTCTGTATTTTAAATGTGATCATTTGTTTGCTTTAAAATAATACTTCAGATAATTTGATGTGGGGTTCTGTGGTGACGTTCTGAAACATTATTTCACATGATGCAGCTCTTTCAATGACCTCAGTGTAGTAACGTTTTGTCCAAGCAGAGCCAAGACCATTCAGCCACTTTAACCCTTTAAGGTCCACACCAAGCAAGCAGGACTTATTAAAATGTTTTTGCATTTGTATTTATTTATTTGATGCAATAATAACGCTAGTGTTTAACATTTTATTCAGATAACTTAATAGTTGTTAGTATTTGAGCCTTTTCTCTTCAGATCAATTTTGTGCATATTTTAGTGTAATATAAGGACAGGGCTGTTGCCTCGACCCTAAACTCTTTACTCTGTAAACTTATGACTGTCTCCACCCAGTACAACACCATCGTTATTAAATATGCTGAAGACACCACTGTACTGGGGCTCATCCAGGAGGGGGACGAGTCAGGGTACAGGACTCTGGTAGACAACATTATAAGCTATGGAGAGAAGATCGACCTCATCCTCAACACAGACAAGTCCAAAGAAACCATACTGGACTTCAGGAAGAACCCTCCTCCATTACAGCCTCCCATCATTAAAGGGACTGAGGTGGGGAGGGCTGACAGCCATTGATTCTTGGGGCTGCAGGTCACATCGGACCTGAGCTGGTTTCAACACCACAGCTGCAGTGAAACAAGCCCAGTAAAGGTTTTACTTCATTAGCCTGCTCAGGAAAGGTCTGAACCAGCACCCTCTCACCCAGACCTACAGAGGACTGATCCTAACCACAGCACCACTGTCTGGTGTGGGAACACCACACAAGCAGAAAGGAAAGCACTGCAAAGAGTCATAAAGACTGTGGAGAGGATCACAGAGATTAAACTTCCTTCATGGACTCAATGTATGAACAGTGCTGTTGAAGAGGAGCAGGAATCATCAAGGACTCTCTCCATCCAGCTCACTCTCTCATCAGACACAAAAAAATGTTCTAATAACCCGAGACACAGTAGGACAGACAGCGTCCTGAGCCATAACACGTTTTTAATCCATTTTTACAATACAATAAATTAATACAATACAATAATTCTAAGTATCACAATGCCGGACAGGACAAGGGAAAAAAGAAAAAAAGAACACTCCAGTCTTCAACATCTCATAAAGGTTCACATGAAAACTATTTCACATTTACATCATTGTGAAGTGCATGGACTGCATGTGTGGCTATTTATATAGTTAGCTATAGTTACTTGGGCAGCACAGTGGTTCAGTTGGTAGAGCTGCCGCCCCTTAGCGAGAAAGTTGCCAGTTCAAATCCCGGTCGGGGACCATTCTGGGTAGAGTTTGCATGTTCTCTCTGTGCATGAGTTTCCTCCCACAGACCAAAAACATGCATGTTAGTCTGATTGGTAACTCTAAATTGTCTCTAGGTGTGAGTGAGAGAGTGAATGGCTGTTTGTCTCGTTTGTCTCTATGTGTCCCTGTGATGGACTGGACACCCGTCCATGGTGTCCCCTGCCTCTCATACAGTCAGTGACTGCTGGACACCAGTGACCCCCATGACCCAAAAAGAAAAAGTGGGTAAAGAGGATGGATGGATAGTTATTTGCAAGCATAAATGCAGTAGCATCCAGCTGTAGCACTTGATGTATTCTTGGGAACTTGTGTTATATGGTGATTTTTTTTTTTTTGCCTGAAAATTTTTTCCGCTACAAAGTTTAATTTGTATTATAAAAAAATCTGCTTTGAGATTATTAAGACTGGCATCCACCATTCTCCCCTGATAACAAAAATAAAATCCCCAAATATTACTGCAAAATGTTGTTTTAATGTAAAATTAATAATTAAATCTGGTCTTAGTGAAGCCTCTCTGTTTCTACGCCACTGGTGTAAGAATTCTTTTAACTTGAGTATGAAACTAAATCAATGACAGATTCCTGCAGCTTCACTTCAAAACATACAGAACATCAAAGTGCAGAGTGAAAATTGTAAAAGTGACACATTTAAAGCACAGAAATAGTTGAAGGACTATAAGATTTTTTTAAGGATCTGATACTCACACTGTCAGATTCTGCAAATTGAAAACCAAAGTTTAAATTCAGAGACATATTTTGACTCAGACAGAACACAATCCGTTTTGTTCGATGTATTTATGAGTGTGGAGGAGGACTGCAGACTCCCCTCCTCGCTGCTTTGTCCTGCGCCTCGGGAGCTGCTGCTAACACTCCCATCACCACAGATCCTAAAGCTTTTAGCATAAACTGTCTGCTCACTGACAAATGAGCTCAGCCTGAAGATTCACATCCCTGCTAAAGTCACTGACTGATTTCTGGCTTCACCTTTCATTGACCAACACTCTCCATGCTTTTTATGCTTCTGTTGACCCAAAACCTGTTTATTTTAGTTCATCATGATTTGAAGTCTTCATGTTAGAAGAGTCCAGAGTGGTCGCCTGCTGCTCGACTGCTTTGGTCCAGTGGCTTCTTGCTGATGGTGCAACAAGGCCAGTAGGCCCCTGAGTGGTGGTGATGCAGGATGGTCCTCCAACTGGACTTCTTGGTCCATGGCAGGACTAAACCCCCTGCAACAGATGCTACGACCCACAGGTGGTCCACTTCCCTGTCCCATATATCCACAGTGAGTGACCACAGGTTATGATTGTAGTTTGTTCTGGTAAAATGAGGCGACTGTACTTTTATTTATTTTTTAATTTACCCTTTATTTAGACAGGTAGTCTCATTGAGTCATGAGAACTCATTTTCAAGAGAGATCTGTTTAGGAGCAGATGGTGGGGGTTAAGGACCTTGCTCAGGGACACAGAGTGGGGCGAATGAGGGTGGAGGCAGGTGTGGGTGTTTCACATTTTCCACCCACATTTTGATGTTGACAGTACCGGGAGTTGAACCTGCAACTTTCCGATCACAGGCCCATCTTCTAACCTCTGCACCACCACTCCCCCACAAGGTACTGTAAAAGGTTAGCTTTATTTTAGCAGAGCTTAAAACTGAATGGTAAGAAGTATTAACAATGTTTTGTGTTCACATTTCCCCATCTCATTCCCCTTCGTTATCTATTCACCAAAGAGCTCAAATTGGTTTTTAAATTACAAGTTTATTTTCTTTCTTTCTGTCAAAAAGTGAGTTGGAGCATGCAAGCCTTCCAAAGTGTGTGTATCTGTGCAGTTAGCAAAGTCATCATCCGCACAGAACGCTGGAAATCATCTCAGAAAATGTATTGCATTTACCTCTTATTGCTGCAGGGAGTGTTTTCACTGCGGTTATCTCAACCCGTGCAGGATTGACTGAG